CCCCCCCCCCCCCCCCCCCCCCCCCCCCCCCCCCCCCCCCCCCCCCCCCCCCCCCCCCCCCCCCCCCCCCGCCCGCCCCCCCCATGAAAAGAGAAATTTGGGGTTTTTAAGTTCAGAGGAAAAATCGGGTTTCTGGAAATTAAAACCCGGTTTTTGCCATAAAAAATCTTTTTCATCGAAAAATAATGTCATATTCATACACAGCGTCAAAAACTGCATTTAGTGATGTGTCATTCGACCTTTAGCAAAAGGTTTGCTTTCGTCTAAGTTTTGGCTAGGCACGTAGACATCAGAACATGGATACTTGTACGTTAGAACAGTACTTGTACTTTAAGTATATTTCAAGTACTTCAGGAGTAATTTCGCAGTTTTTATACCTAGTTCGACGAATCAATAAACTAATACCTACGTCTGGATGCGCTGTGGATGAAAATAAAGCATGGAGAGACGTTTTCTTCCTGGTATATATTTTTATGTATTTCTACCTGGTACTGAGCATCATACTAAAAGCTTAAGAAATAATCCTGATAGTTCTGCACGATTCTTCACTCAGATCACCATATTACAGAAGAACAAAAATAAAGTACCCTAGCCTACTTTTCTTGATGAAGTTCCCGATAAATCACCGAAAAAATGTGACATCCCTAGGGAGTTCTCAGGGCTTCCCTATAAAATCCCTGGCGACGTCCTGATTTGGAGGAAGTGAAGGCTAATAATGAAGCCCCTGGTGATTCACTGCTGACTCTCTAGGGATTTCTTAGGGAGAATGTACAACATATTCACCGTTTTGTTTTGCGTCTGCAAAAGTATATAAAACGTGAAAATTTAAACAGAACATCTCTTTTCTTTTAGATAAATGTAGCTGAGACTCGTCGATGTTAACTCGTCGTTTCGATGTGAGTTAGCTTTTCAGCCGAGTGACTCATCCATTGGACGAGGTTCACTGGCTGGCTCAGATGGGAAAGAATTTTGGAAAGAAAGTGGTAGTTTTTCTTATCTAAAATAAATTTCAGTCTGATAAAAAATCGATGGAAAAAAGGCTAAATTACGCTTAAAATTGAGCACAGGAGTCGAATTAAGCATTTATTCGTTTTTGGGAACTCCCTAAGAAAATCCTTAGGGACTCCCTCTAAGTTCCCTTACAACTCCCTGAGAAATCCGTTAGGTGATTCCCTGGAGATTTTTTCAGGGAAAGTGGACTAGGGTAGTAGTGAATGAGAACTAAAAGATAAGAACCAGTACGAACATACTTTGGAAATTTGAGAATCATCCCTCTGAAAATACCGTATATGACAACATGTAAAAAGAGTGCTTAGAGACTTTCGCACCACTTGTCTAGCACTTGTCAAGTCAAAATTGCTATGTCCATACGCTGCAACCGTCGCATTACACTGGATCGAAACATAATTCAAATACATATCATTCAATGCAGTTTTCTGCGCTGATTCCAAATATGTCATTATTTTTATATTAAATGGTGCTGAATCGGGAAAAATGGATTTTACGTCAAAAATCAAGGCTTTTTTTGGAAAATCTGTAACTCGGTTCAAAACTTTAGCGTTAATTGGCGCTATCCATATAGATATACGGTAAGTAGAAGATTGTTCTGCAAAACATTTCATCAAATTTGGAGCTATGGAGAATTTTGGAAACTTACTATACTGAACATAGCTGTTCGGAAAACGCTTAGCGTACAAAGAAAAATTATTTCTTCCGACACCAAAGCATCAAGTAAAAGGCTTTTTTATGAATCAATACATTGGAAGGCGTTATTTCAGAATATGTGTGAGTTTTTAGTTTAAGCAAAAACGGTTTTTATTTCTTAATAGCTACGTTTTTAGACGAAATTTCCACTCTGGATTTTTGGGTGAACTATGACAATCGGAATTACAACTTTTATGCCATTAAATAGACTGTAGTTTGAAGAATATCGCCCACTGCTTAAATCTTAAAAAAATGCACTTTCGATTTTTCACCTAATGTTCACATGATTGTCCACCATGTGCAGGTGTTTTTTTTTAGGTGAAAGCAAAACTTTTGAAAATCGGATTTTAATGTTCAGAAACCCGATTTCCCCGTCCCGCCCCTCCGAAACAGTCGACAATTTTTTTTTAGTCTGAGCAACGTAGGGTGTGACTTAGGTGCAATGGCTGTTATATACAATTTTCTGTTATCACTCACTTCGTGTGCAACATAGGTTTTATTCAAAAGATCATCATATCTACCACGAACATATGTTCCTAAATTTATCGATTGTTGAACACCTAGAGTAGATAGAATCGTGAAAGATTTGACTTCTCCATTTCAAAAATAAGTAAACGTACCTGTCATTGTTAGCTGATTAAATCCGTTCGGCCAGAATGTTTCTTGTAACGGATCAGCTGGATAAGTTGATAATGGAGTGCGATCACCAGTACGAAATAACTAATATAAGCAACGGAAGACAATTTATCATCGTCTGATCTCTCTTTTAACTTACAATATGTGTTCCAATTAATTTTGAATTCGCTCCATAATTTGCCGGCAATAAACTGAATACAATATATAAGGATAACGAATACATCTGTTGTCTAAAGTTAACAGGAATCGATATTTAAATGAAATTCTAAAATTCAATTTTAGTTCAGTCATTCGATTTGTCATAGTAAAATCGACCGACTAGTCGGAGTGTTTGCGACTACAATACACTTTTCAAAAACGACGACGAGAAGACTAATCGAAGTCGAGTTGTACAATTAGCTGCTTCATCGTCAGACATTTGTCGATAAGTTATTTACTTTTCTTTAGTTATCGCCAGTCCTAATTCCTTCAAAAATACATAGAGATGTTTTATTTCTATTTTTCTCGCAAAAAACAATTCTTTGAAGTACAGGTGGAGAAAGTAGCTGGTACATTCTTGTCTGCTAATAAGGTAAGAGAACGGTGCTTCAAGTAGTTCTGGTAATAGTACAATGGTCTCAGAGAACATAAAAAATTGACTAGTATACTTGATTAGGTATATTTCGACGGCTAGGTATAGAGATTGATCAGTTAACGTGCTATGTTTTGATTAGTATTCAACGATATATAAAACTTGATACAACCGACAAGCCAGAATTCCAGTTAGTTTATCAAAAAAGTACTTATTCAAATTTAGAAAGCATTTTGACTGCTATTCATTTAAATAAATGGTGAACTTTAGTACTTTTTAAATAACTTTTTAATGAAAAACGATAGAAACTATTGGTTTTTGCCATCGAATATACCAGGCGTTATCTTTTTGTAAAAAATTCTATTCTAAAAATTCTTTCTTAAACCAAAATTTTTAGGACTCTTTGAAAAATTAGTTAATCACCCAAAAATATGAAATATATATAAATGCATTGTCGTTTCTCATATTGATAGATAGCCATAGTGTTGGTTACAAATGAAAATTAGCCGAATTTTTTATCTATGTTGGTTTAAGCGTAGAATCGGATATCCTGGAAGCCCAAGGTTAATGTGAGATCATCTGTGAGAGTCTCAAAAACATCGGGAGCATAAATTATCAATCACGTTGAGCCTTTTGGCAATACTTATATTCAGGACAAAAATCAAACAGTTCTTAAAAACTAATGTTACCCAAGTAAATCTAAGCAAAAAAGTGAATGCATGACTCGAAAACTCAAAACATCGAAGGTGAAAATGCTGAATAAGCTCTGTTTGATGAGCTGACATTAACAAATATAGACCATAGCCCATGCAGTTCGATAGATTTGTCTATCAAATACCATGAATTGTTAGCACTTCGTGCTTCGTTTTCTTATATCCACTCACATTCATCTTTCCCTTCGCCCCCGATGCACACATTTTATTGTGTTTATTCGGTTGTCGTTTTTACATAATAACTAAACAATATTTTGGAGATACGAGTCCACTTCCAAAACTCACATTTTCATTGTTTTTACTGTTCGACATTTCAGGTTTTTGATATTTTGTTTTTTCGTCACTTTTGTTTTCTACATCTCACGTTTTTGCCATTCTTATTTTTGATTTTGGCGTGCATTCTACGTTTTCGCTTTCGATGTTTTGAGTTTTTGACCCAAGGCAGACATACCGAAGAAATCTAGCTCCAGTGCTCTACTGATTGAAATGATGTTCTAGCTGAAACCAACCAACTCATCGGACAATTCATTAACTGATTAATCAACAGTATCTAGCTGTACTCAATTGGAGTTAGATTCAATCTAAATACAAGCACCCACTTCACGATTTTTTTTCGCGTTTGAATAGACGAAATAATCTCTATTTTTTAGTATTTTTTTACATAGAATAAAAAAATTGATAACTCTTTCAAAGTCAATTCAAACTACGTACAAACATCAAGATGTACTCTAGTTTATCCGTTCAATATGATTCTGTGCTAAAAACTAGTCAGATTTCTAGAGAAAGTAATTTTACTGATTTTTAAAAATTACTTCTGTAGAACTCCATCGTATATACATAAAATAGAGTATATGTTGAAGTTTGGAAGTTATTTTGATTGAGCAACTTTTAATCTAATATTTTTATTTGTCAAACATCTGTATGGGTGAAAACACGACCTCAGACAAAGAAATATCATTATCACTACGTTCATTAAAAAATGTATACACAAATTATTACCATCTAATATTATATCGAACATCGAATAAAACTTCAGCGAGTTAAATAAAATTAAATATAAAGGCAAAAAAAACAAATGTTGTGTACATATCTAAAGATAAGATAAATTACTATACATTCACGCACATGCTTCTATATGATTTTCGTTTAAAAACTAAACGTACGTTTTAGGATAATGACAAAATAAAACACTATCAAACAATGATAGAAGATTATTTACAAGCTTAAAGGAGCAACAGAATGACTAGATATATAAATAAATAAAATGAATTAATTTTTTAATTCTGTAAATATTGCCAGGGGAAAATATTTGATATGAGTATGCCATTGAGATGATATTTGAAAAAATTTAACGTTATTCCATTCAAGACCATCAACATTAACTACAAAGAAGAAAACAAAAATTGAGAAATTAATTTAATCTAAAATAACATTAAACTTACCAGTTAATTCGACATTTTGTGATTTTGATGTACATACAAGACGATTAATACCATTAATAGATTGTGGTTCTACTTTTTGTGGCTCTTTTTGTTTCTTACTAAATTTCATAACTAAAAGAAAAAAGACAAAATTCATGCTCTATACGTATAGATTATATTAATTCAAATAATCTGATATTTTCACAAGTATGACTTACTGTAGCAACGTCAAGACAATTTACTTTTTAAAATAAATGTCAATTTCACATATTTGAATGTTTCATCATCATTTACTACTATGTTCAAACAATCAATATGTTCATTTAGCATTATCTATTTGTTTTTACGATGAACAACATTAATTCTTACTCAAAACGAAGTTTAGAATCGACTACAAACAATCAGACAAAAGGAGATACTCAAAAAGATTATACAACAAACTGTGTTCATCAGAATATAGACGTTAATTAACTGATACCTAAACAACAGCGTTTTCGACTAGGTGGAGGAAGGTGAGAGAATTCTCTCATCTTGTTTGAAAAAAATGACTCGCTTCATTTTAAAAAATTTACTCCTACTAAAATAAAAATTACTCCGAAAAGGTAAAAGCCTTTTTCTTTTTTGGTTATCAGCTAAATTTTTAGAGTTGCTCCATAAAACTTCTCCCAACTCGCCAAAGTTATATCAAAAACGCTGCTAAACAATATGGCATAAATGATCTATTTTATTTTTAGAAATCGTCTTATGGAAAAATGGCTGGTAGACTATGTATAGTCCAACATTGATGATAAGATAAAAGCGAATAACACAAAAAAATATCAGCAAACTTAATTTTCATATAGCTTTCTTTGATTACAGACTATGTCCAAGAGATGGAACAGAAGGATGGTGTGACAAAATGCGGGACACTATCAAAAGTTTATGTAAAGTGTACGGAATCTTGTATATTTTACTGGACGATCAAATAAAAATCGTACAAGCGACAAACATCCGATGATCTCAAATTTGATCCAATTATTTACTAATGCCATCAATAAACTTTTCGTACATCCTTTTTTATGACAATGTTCAATGAAAATATGAAATTGATATTAGTTGAAGCGTAAATTTAACGATATCAAAGAGAAAATGCGACTACCCATGGCTGAACGATACTTCTAGTGATCCATGAACTTCTGACATAAAAGATTTATGCATGAAATTAGCAGCCATAGGTTAATTACCATTTCAAATTAACTTAAAACGAGATAATTTTCCTATACTCTACAACTAATGAAGCAATAATAAGTTTAATTCTATTTGTTTTAACAGTGATTTATCATATCTTTGAAAATGGCTGCAATCCATATAAGTCTTAGAATTATCAGATGCGGCTCTAGCATGCCGATTTCTGATAAAAATTTGAAAATCCGTCTCATCATTACAATATATATCAAATGTACACACTCAACGGCACAGTTCAATGTTTGTTTATGATATGATAAAAGGATTTGATAAGCACAATAAATCTATTCAATAAGATATTTTTTTATTTTAAGTACACAGATAAAGTTGACTCTTTAACTAATTATAGAAAAGAAAGAAAGGGAAGATTTACGCCTATCGCGCCTTCTGCACGTTTGGGCTCTCATATTCTAGTTTTGCATTCATTTTCGACTAGTAATGAAATGAGTCAGAAACGTTGTATATGTGTATGTGTATACATAATTATCTTTCTTAATTGACAACAACAAACACCAACACTATATGGCTATTTCTATTCAACTATTTTATGCTCTTTGTACCAGTATATTACTTTTCGTGTGTTTATTTGGATGTATATTTGATTGTTTGGTAAGAAGAAAACAAAGGAAAAGAATGTGTTCAGCCAATAACGAAATATTACCAAAAAAATGTCACTTTTGGTTTCAAAATACAAAAACACCAACAATCTTAGGAGAGGAAAAGAAAAATATGAATTTTGGAAAAATTATTCACGTTTAATATGAACGAAACATGGTGGTTTTATTTACTATATAATAGGAAACTTTTGTTATCTATTTATCAAATAAACATGTTCACGTGTCAAAGTTCACACAAATAATTTAGTTTTATCCAGTTGAAAATATCTTCCAAAATACAAGATGTCTAAGAGAAAACTTCTTCAAGAAATGTCATAGTATTAAAAAAATTCTACATCAGAAAAATGACTTTTTTAGTTCTTTTTGATAGAAACTAGATCGTTCTGGGCGACACACATAAATATCTGTTAATAAGTTTAGTACAATCATAGCTTTACTAATGTTTTGTTTATATTCTATGAATAATTCACCTGACTTCTATTATTCATTTATTTATTTTGTTTTCTATGCTATTAATAACAATGAACATTACCTATTTCTATCCATGAGATCCTTCTTCTTTTCAAACAACAACTCGTTAATCACATGGAAAATGATTACGCGTCAACTATATAAAGTTCAGGTGATAACTATTAATCATGTACATTGTGGAAAATGACGAACGTAAAAACGATTTTTTCTATTCTATTCTTCACAATTTAAAGAATTGAAAAGACCATGGACATTATCTTGATAAAACACTAGAAATTTAGTTTTGAAGAGCGATGAGACTGGTATCAGTCTGAATTTAAGACATGAATTTAACAAAAAATAATACTGAAATAGTAAAGATCAAATGCTAAACACACATTTAAATAAAATTATTTATCAAATCTGATACTAAGTCTTGTGATGCGCGAACCGAGTGCATTTCTGGCATGAACAACAAGAACAAGGTGTTTGAATTTACAAGATTTAAATGGCATTACCCAGAAGTGATGTCTATTTTCTTTTTCTCTCAGGCATACAATAAATCACGCCAACCACCAGATGAAAACCGTAACATATGCAACAATGTTTAGTATGGTGTCATGAAGATATTCGTTCTATCGAAAAGTCTATGGATGCTATGTGATTCGTGAACATGTTAAATATAATAGTGCATATCGTCGCGACTTTTCATTATGAAAACGAGAAAAATTAATGAAAGAATCCCAGAAGTCGGTCCTTCTATATATTCACACCCATTATCATTTGCTTGTTAGGATCTCTATTTTCAATAATTTGGAGAAAATGCGTCATAATCCCAAAGCATAAGGAGAGGAGACTACTAGCAAAGAACTGGTAGAATATAAAAGTAAGCGATTTTCATCAAGCTATATAGAAAACTGACATTTTCCTCAAACAGGACAAATGATGAATTGTGACATGGTGAAATGATTTTAAAAAAAACATTTCTCTCCCTTTACACTCACTTATTCTCAACTAAAATTAAACAAAAAAAGTGCCTATTTCGATGTATGAACGACTGTTTGTCATACAATCAAATTTATCCTGTGCCTCAAATCAGCCGAATAAGTAGAAGGCTTCGACCTCACTTAATGAAGACCATTGTGTAGCAAATCTCTTTGTACTGAACCAGTTTCAGATCTCGAAAAACAGTCAACTTACTCTTTTGTTTCTTCTCTCGTGTTATAAATGTCATGGTCAATAGTCCAGCCATTTTCCCTTCATTTTGCATAACCGGTTTTCGTGTTACCGTTAATACACGTATATTGGATTTTAACGATGATTTAATTGTCCGCCCTTCTTTTTTGCTGCTTATATCACCTCCACCACCTCCTTGTTGTGTCATACCAATACTTGTCCAATAATCAACTTGGACATTAATTTGCGATTGAGGATCTAACTGACGTTCAGTTAATGTGTCATTAAGCAATATATTTGTATCACCGCCACCTTTAATATGATGAATGGTACTGAGAGGAGGTGGAGGCGATTGAGGTGGAGAATCGTCCGATGAATCTTTCATAGGCAACGAAGATGTTAATAGTAAATCACGATTTTGAGAAGGGGATGATGAAACTGTTGTTAATGGCGCTTCATCTAATGATTGTTGTTGCTGTTGTTGTTGCCCACTTGACTCGAATGATGATGATGATGTACCCAAACGAACATACTAAAAAAAAGAAACGTTAGACACAAAATTTCAAATTGTTATTAAAGACTTACACAAAAAAATGGTAAAAATGTTGGTGATGTATCTTCCTCTGGTCTAAATAAGAACTTTCAAAAGTTGTTTTAAAAAAGTATGAGATACACTTACAATCTTCCTTTTCTATTAAGCATCACTTCTCCAATAGGTAGCGAAAGTGTGTATTGAGATGTTTTCACATAGCGGTTCACTTTCTGAACTAACTCACGAATATCTAAAAGAAACCAAGTAGAATTTTTAAAGTCATTACGACAAATAGTAAACCAGTATTAATACCTGGCAATTGTGATGACTCATTTGCAGAAGAGCTAATTTCACCAAATAATGAGTGATATTGTGGATCTAAACTGCCCAAAAATGTTGCTAAATACGATGATACTAAAACAGAAGTAAAAGGCACAAACTTCACTTAATTGTCATTTTAACAAAACACTTTTACCTAGAGGTATAAAATAAAATCGAAAATAAGCCATCCATTCTTTTGGTTTACTTGCCAAACAATCAACATAAGATTGTAAAAATGCATTAACAAATGCATCATTTCCAAGTAAAATAACGCGAACTAAGGTAACTTGTTTTGATTGTGCTGTACTATAAAAGAAAAATACAGAAACGAGTGAAAATTGAGATTAGTTTGATTAGAATATTCCTTGTACCATTTTTGTATGCGTTGAATCAAATTAGAAATAACTAATTTTGCTTCGTTCAATAACGTCAATGATATGACAGCAAGATTATATTCTTTGAACTTCAATGGAGTGACCTATAAATAAAATCTTTTTGGTAATAATATAACCTCAGTATTGCTAAAAAGCATACATTCGGTTGATTTAAACCGGTATAAAGAAACACAACTGTTTCGGGTAAACGATCACCGAGGTGAAGATCTTCGAGTTGTCGAACAACACCTTCACGAGCCTAAATAAAATATCAATAGTTAAGAGTAGAAAAATGGACAAACTGAGAAAAAAAACCAACCATCGCCATCGATGCACTTCGACCACGTTCATCTGGATTGGGATCTGCTAAAAATGTTGGCATCATCGTACGTTCAATATCAATACCTACATCTGATGATTCTGAATCCTGAAACAATTTTATTTAACATGAAAAGCTATCATAACGGAAGACAAAAGTGTCACCTACTGGAGGACTTTCATCAAACGGATTTGTCTTTGGAAGTACGAGCGGATCGTCGTTGGACTAATAAAAATAAGCACGGTTATCAATCTGAAATACTTAAATACTGAGAGCATACGAATTTCAATAATTGTAGTTGTTCAACAGGCGTAAAACCAGGCTTTGGCACAGACTCTATACTCCACTGATCAACCGGTACTACAAATAGAGAAAGGAAACAGACTGAAGATCGCGTTACCTCTTTATTCAGTACGAACCTGTTGAATCGCTAACATCAGATGGTGGATCGATCATATCTTCTTCTTCGATATCTGAATGTCGGTCCATTGTTAGATGATGATGGCTTTCAGCTACACCGGTTCCGGTTGTTCCTCCACCTTTTCGCTTAAATATTTTAATTAATTTATTTCTTATTAACATTGGATTTATAAATTTCTTCTTTTCATTTCCATATTCAAAATCACTATCCTCCATATCAGATGGATTCTCATCGTCATCGCCATAATCTTCATCATCACCAAAACTTTTGTCTGAATCAAATAGATGATTTACTTTATTTAACTTGACAGTATATTTTAACTTACCTAGCTCAACTTGTCTGTTTCCTGCAATCATTCGTTGTTTTTGAGTGACTGATGTCGAAGTTCCTTTTGTTTTTGGACCATTCCTACTATCACTTTGCGCCGTCTCCGCTATTGTACTTGACAGACCAACAACAGAGACATAACCAACAAGACGATGTTTTTGTGGCATCTGAATTGCCGCTTCTGATGATTGATGTTGTAAACTGCTATTATCATCGACTATTGAACGTTGCTGTTGTTTCTTTTCTGTTGAATTCATATACAAATGTAAATCAATATTTTGAGAACGTTGTATCACCTAAAAACTAACAGTTAAGAAGAGATCATCTCTAACACATTGTACGCTATATCTACCTTATTTAAACTAATTTCACCACGTGCTAATGTTTTATAACCAATCATTGGTCGATTTTTACGTCGTTGAACATATATTTGTAATTTGTTTATATCTCGTTTGAAATAATGCGGATACTAGAGAAACAAAAAAGGTGGTAAACAACTATCACCAATTTTAGCCAAGACCTTACTGTTATCAAATATTGTAAATTAACTTGAACATCGAGCGTACTATCAGATTGCAGAGGAATTTCACAGCATCGAAACATTCGTTTGTTACTCTAAAATATAATAAACAAAACAAGGTGTCTGTAACGAACGACACTAAAATATTTACTTGAATTTTGACAGCAACAACAACAGAATTTGAATCTCCACCATCGAGAGGTCCTACAAAGTATAAAAGACTCAAATGTTTGATTAATATTTCTTTCAGACACTTTACCATTCAATACTAGACGAATAATACTAAATTTGCATAATCTAAACAAAGAAAGGTTGAACAATAATCAAAATTTCTAATGATAGTAATTTACCTCGGAACACACGTAGAAATATTATCCATTTCTAACTGAGCATAGGCCATTAATGTAGTAGCTGTTTTCGGATGACCAGTGCCTCCACTTTTCTGACTTTTTTCTCCCATAATGGTTATTTATTCTTTTTATACTTTTCGTTACATTCTAAAAACAATAGAAATACTGACATAAAAGTATTTAAATAAACATACACCACACAGAAAACTTTTCTGATTCAACTTAACAAGCCCTAAAACTCCATCTCGAAATATTTATAAGTAGCAATTATTTTTGCGTTACTTGTTCTGTCTAATTAGTTTACTTTTAGTCTCGATTTTAACATATTTCTGTGGTTAATTTTATCGAGTTAAGAACTTTCGAAAGTCCTGAAGAGACACAATATTGTGAATTTCAAATGTGCGAAAGGAACTGTAGTAGATTGCAAATGGAAGTACTCTATAATTGATAACTAGGGTAACCACAATGTGCTGAAGACTATCAGTTGATGGTCTTCCTTCTGATAACGACGGTCTATAAAAAAACGGAACGGACGTTTTTCATTGGCTGAAATAATGCTTTTCATTTCAAGTTACCAGTTCACTTTACGAATAGATTGTAAAATTATAATATTTGATTATTTCACTTTTATGACATCTTGGCATTTTTTTTTTGTTATTTTCAAGGTCAAACTAAGCTTTCATTAAAATATCAGTGTGACTTACGTTGACATTAGCGCTTAATGGAAGAAAATTTTAATGAAAGCTTTATCTGGACTTGTTTTCAATAAGAATCGGGAGAGAAGAGTATACATTATAGATTCTCCCCAGCTTATTTTCGGACTTTCATAGCATAGTAGAATTTTCCTTTGATTTGAACGCGCATCAAGAGATGGCTTCCTTTTCGCCTCAAGAGCAAATTGTATTCGAGCTCAGTTTTAAACTGTTGTGTTATGTTTTTTTCTGGTCGTATAGAAAAAAAAAGGAAAAAGGAAGTAAAAAAAGATGTATGATTTATATACAGACAATGCATTTTTCCTTTCTTTTTTTCTGCACCACCGTTTTTTCGTTCCGATCATTTGCAAAAGAATCTTTTCTGTATTTTTTAGTAGTGTTCGTCCAATCATTAACAATGTTTAGTTATATTTTCAGTTCACAGTTAAACAGAAGCCTTGTGCTCTTTTCTTCGAAGTATATTAGAGCACTAGCAAATAAGGAGATATCTCTTTTCAGATACGATATCTCGTGTGCCAACATTTTTTTGTCTCAGCGCGTCGATTGAAACGAAAGAGAACAGAAAGATATGCATGTGCGAAAAGAGATATCTCCTTATTTGCTAGTGCTCTATTGTTACACACCATCGCTATTCTCGCTTTCAAGTTCAAGATAGAAGAATCATCGCCATCACATTGATTAGTCATAGATGAAGATGTCAATTTCGAAGATCAGAGAAGAGAAGGTATCACAGTAGATGAAGATTTGCTCAAATATCATAAGGCAGGATGTGAATATGAATATTATTATTAGTTGATGCACAGCGAAAAAATCGCGTCTACATGAGGATACAGTTCATGCATTGAATTTTTGCTTATTTTGTTTTACAAGTTGAAGGATCCTCTCGTTCAATACTAGGACGATTAAAATCCGACGCTGATTTATATGTATTAAATCGTTTCAAACACGTTACATAGTACAAGTGTGACCTAAAACTTGTGGAATTGATGAAATATTAATTGATCGGTTAATGAAATGAGCAGTTTACATTGACGCTCATGACTATTGCTTTGGGAGTGTACACAGTTGATCAACTTCAAAGAAATTGCATCTACTCATCTTTCTCGAAGAAACAGAATGATTCAACTTATGAATCCTTGCCTCTGGTCATCCTTGCCCATAGACTTGTTCATAGACTTGTCAAGGTTTATTGATGATCTCATAATAATCTTGTTAAAAAATAAAGTCTAAATGACTATTCAGATAAAAATGAAGAAATAAAGCCTGGACATCTATGGTAGTTCAATGAAAAAATTTTCAAAAGAAAAACTACTCTGTGAAAAAATTTCAGTGCGGAAAAATCGAAACCGTATCCAGCCGGTTTTATTGAAGAATTGCATTTTTGGTGATAGATCTATTAAGTTATTTCTTCTCAATACTATAATTGGTCATGCATGTAAAATAAATCTGTTTAATGATGGAAGAATACCGTTCGTTGACTCAAAAGACGTCTGTCGGCACCAATATTTAAGCAGGGGCGCCCCGATACATTGGAAGGAAGTTAGTTTCGGAGTAAATTTTTATGCTTTTAAAAACTGGAGTAAAAATATATTTAATGATACAGTCATGATACAGCCTATTCTGTTTATCTTATTTATGTACATGATAGAAGTTTTTTTATTTTCTATCAAATACAGAAAGAAAAAACAAATGCTTTACTCTAAAAATGGAAGTCTATGTCTTACTCCGAAAATAGAAGTAAATATCTTACTTTTGAAGAGGTAAATTCCTAAGTATGAACCTGAGAGTGAGCCTTTTATACTCTAAAAATAAGAGTAATTGTCTTACTCTGAAAATACGAGTAAACGCTTTACTCTGTAGGATATTCTCGTAAGTCAAAGACTTAATTTTCGGAGTAAGAAAATCCTGATTTCGGAGTAAATTTTTTCAAAAACCAGGGAGAGGATCCTTCTCCTCCCCCCTTATCGAGGCGCTCCTGTATTTAACCCTTTCCAGCCTGATGTTGCCATTTGGCAACACTTTTTGCTGTGTTTTCGAAACAGCCGGCTGGAAAGGGTTAAGGTATGTTGACATATGCAAAGCCAGATGTCGAAGAACTTTGTCCGAATCAAATATGTTTTTCTTTTTAACTTTTATTCAAAAAAATATTTTAGTGGATGAAAAATTATACTAACTATAGACGACGAATATAGTAGATACGTGTTCTAGATAACTATATTTTCCTTATTTATTTTTGATTTTCGATAATAGTATTATATAGATAAGAAAATTAAGTTGTATTTTACTTGAGAATAACGAAAAGAGATGAGAAACCAAAAAGCTTTCGATTAACCGGTAAAAAACCGGCTGAAAAAAAAAGAAATTTTCTCAAATTTTGGCATGAGTAGCTAGCATTGAGTCATGTACAGTTTTTAAGCGCAAAACTACAAGGTTCATTTGTGAAAAGTAGGAGAAAAATGTCTTTTTTCATACATCATAGCCGTTTTCCAGCCATTTTTACAAAATTAAAATTTTTTTTCTTTATTAATATGAACCGATGAAGATAAAAAAGCCAGCCACTAAATGTAACTTCTTTCAATGCTCTCTATTCAACCTTATGTAAATTAGTGCATTTGGTCAATGGATCAAAACTGAGGTAAATACCAGTAGGAGACGGGCCCCAAATACAGTGCATGTCGTAAAACGGCCTGTAAAATCATAAAAAACCATCGCAAAGAGCTCGTCGACGTCTCATTTTGTAGGAAAATGTTTGCTCTACATCTGTAATAATTCAATAAAGTTTTGTATGTCCAGATCTTTGAGATTTGTATCAAAATTTAGAAAAGTAAGAAAATGATGAAACCTATGTCGGTCCCCAATATTTGATTTAAAGATATATCATCCTAGCGTTTTGAAATGTTCTACTGTATATGAATCGATGCAGAATTACCTGCTCTCTAAAAAGTGAAGTAAGATTTATTTCGGAAATGCCATATACATGGCCTATATTTAAAATATGGAATCTTTTAATTTTCTATTATTTAGTCCTAGATAGTTAAACATATTATTATCTCTAAATACATGAGCTTATAGAGTACACATTCCTCTTTCAAATGAGCCATAAACGAATCGTAGGAATTTGATAGTTTTTGAGAAAATTGAAAAAATACGAAAAATTTATGAAAATTCACGTCTTTTAGTGATCCCCAGTAGAGTGTTTGGCCTCTAGTTTTTTAAAAAGGCACTTTCGGAAAGAGTTATTGCAGAGTTAGTGGTTATTTTGTATGCTCTTTCGAACGATACATAAATAAAATTAAAATAAAATAAAATTTTATTTTTATTATGATGTATTTATTTTTGCTATGATGTATGGAAAAAGACATTTTTCTCCTACTTTTTACAAATGAACCTTGTAGTTTTGCGCTTAAAAACTGCACATGACTCAATGCTAGCTACTCATGCCAAAATTTGAGAAAATTTCTAGCTTACATTCAATGATTTTCTCGTGTGGCAACAATCTGTTGAATTAGCTTGAATAGCGATAAAACAGGTATTCAACCATCAGACAAATGAATAGCAAAAGACCGTCCCAAGAAAGTTAGCATAGCTTTAAATTTTTAAATAAATATAAATAAAACTGTAAAAATATTATTCATTTGGTTAATATTTCAATGAATATGTTTGTGTTATACATTATACGTTGTTCAGAAATAAAAATGTGAGATTCATGTTGGAAAATTTGGTGATCAAAAGTACATTTACTCTTTAAACAGGTTATGCATGAGTTACTAAACGTCAGTTTTCGTTGATCTTGAACCTCAAAGCAGAACGAACATCACTGGCTACATTGTGTTCGTTCTTAACACTTCATACTTAATATGATGGAAAAACGTTACAGTTCGTCTTCGAAGTACCAAGTAAGAATCGAAAAAAAGAATCGAAAAAAGGTAAAAAAGATCAATAAAAATTAAAGCAAGAACTTTGATTAATCAAGACAAATTTAAAGATTCATTGATGTAAGATGCTACATTATCTTGATCTCATCTATTGGTTTTTAGATTTGTATCATCAGATTGAATAATAACACCAAAAAGGATGAGTTCCACCAAGAACAATGAACACATCGAAAAACCAGTGAGACTCGAAGAAAGTTGTCATTGTCAAAAAAATCAAATATAGTATTGATTCGTGTATGTAGAAATACGAATGTTGTATATCTGCACACTATTTGTTGTTGTTGTTGCAGATACTCCCTATCCATTTCTGATTTGCCATTGTCTAACAGATACCAAAACAGCCGGTGTTTACAACTGTAATATAATGGATGAAAAAAGTACATTCAAGATCCAGCAAGGTAAAGAATATGTTAAAGTTTATCAAGTAAAATTAACGAATACGGAAAAAGACAAAGGTGGAAAAGATGAAAATGTATTGAGTAAACACCAGCGATATTTTTGTTCAGAATGTGGTTCATATCTATGGGCATATAACGAAGATTATAAAAATTGAATTTATCCATTTGCAAGTTCAATTGATACACCATTACCTGTACCATCTAAACACATTTATATGATGACTGATTTCAAATTAAATCATGTCGAAATACCATCTGAAAATGTTGAAATATGTCCAAGGTATCCAAAGACAGAAATTGAAATGTGGCACAGAGATCATGGACTTTATGGTTCGTACAAGGCTTAATTTATCTCAAGTATATAGACCAGATACTCTTCTCGCATAGCCTTTAATCTAGCAATCGCTTCTATTTTTATTTTCACTGTTATAACATTTGAAATAAATCATGGAAAAAAAGCTTGCTTATTCTGCTACTTCGCATTATACACTCCTAGCAGAGAAGTATACGATGGACACACATAATCGAGAGTTTTATTAGTATATGAAACACACAATATGGAATCAGATTTTTATTTCATAACCTTCGTTCATGTTTCAACTTAGTATTCTCTCTAGATAACTCCTTAGATGCAAGCCGTTCAAAGAAAATTGTTCATTCCTTTATTTAATGAAGTGACATGTGCTGTGTAAGAGTTGGTGTCAAAGTATTTTTGGTGGAGTTTATTCTGTTCTATTATTTATTCTTTTATTTTCTATGATTATCATGATTTTCTTTATTTTGTCTGATTTGGAGTAAAACACATGGGATGAGATTTGGGTGTTTCTCTGACTTCCAGTCTAAACTCTTCCATTGCTTTGAAGTATTCACACATCGTGGGTAATCAATCGCCAGTTCTTCTTACTGAGACCCAGACGTCGAGCCAACTTTGCCAAGTCAGTATATACTTCAAGAAATCATACCCGTTAAATTGCATCATGCATGGGATTCCGATCATCTTGTATCCACTCAAGTTGTTCGTGTATTAATCTGAAGGGTCACAATGAGTCATTCTGTGAAAACCATCCCCTCTAACTAGCCTACAAAACAGCGTTAAAACATTGAGGAAGGCAGGTGGTTTGTATGAGTTATAGATTAAACATTGAAAACCAACAGTGATTGAAAAATGACTGACTATTTTTGAGTTTTTTGCGTTTCCAACACATTCCCAAAAAAACCAAAGTCATAAACTTCACTGGAAGAACCATGCTACTTATTGAACTTTAACTTTTCGCTAATGACAATGACTGATTATTTTTCTTCTATGGAAGTGTAGTCTCAAGAAATTCCGTCTCGTACTCAAAAAGTGTTTTAAAACCTATTTCGTCTCGCCTGGTGTAAAGAAAATTAGCGGCATTCTGTCTTCATCTATCTGTTTAACGCTTATCGCATCAACAATACAAAAATGGAAAAACAAATAAAAGTTTCACCGCGTTCTGTAGTCAGTTTTTGAGATGTCATTAGTTTCAAATGACGTATCGAGAAAGAACGAATTTCTTCCCATTTCGTCAAAGTTTTTTCTAAGCTGTCTCGTCTCATCTTGCAAACTCTCACAAGACGACCGTTTCTCCCATCTCTGTTAAATGGACACTGTTAGATGAGTGAAACAATTTTTTTGACCGTTTTTCTTAGATAAAAGCCATCTAAAGAAAGTTCTTCATCTGTCATTTGACTTTATCAAATGCCCAGCCGTTTTATCTAGCGTCTGCTTTGTGCTGTAAGTAAATGTCGCTACTCACGGAAGAATGTTTTGAATAAAACCGCGGTATAAAAAATCGCGGCTTTTGCAGTTTAAATACACCGCAGGAGTCAGACCGTTTATTAGGTTTTTACACACCGATCGTTTGGAGCGGTTTTTTTACAAAAACGATTTTCTTGATGTTATCGCCGGTATATGTTCGTTTTTTGTCCATCTCTCTTTCTTCATTCTACATTTGTTTCTATAGCTCTGACTGCTACATCCACACACCACGGTTATTGCTTCTATTGCATTGCGGTGATCCTGTAACGCGGTTAGCCTGCCTGAAACCGCCAATCTTTCATATGCGTTGTATGAGATTCGAATTCCTTACCTTGGATTTGCTTGTCCAACATGTTCCATTGAGCCATCTCGGGTTGTTTATACAATGATCAAAACTGATGTTATATCTTACCGATCTAATTGTTTTAAGTAAGAAACAGATAACTAGGGAGATAACCAGGGATACCAGATCCAAAGCAAGAAAATCAGAAAGACCTCAGAAAAAGAAGTTCAAAATCAGAAAATCAATAGACCTTTGAGGAAAAAAGAGCGGAAATGAGGCAGAGAAAGTTCGAAAAAGCAGAAATTTTCAGCCAGAATCGGAAGATCTGGGATTCCTGGCGATTAGACACACCTGATACGACATCTTCCTTGCGACAAAAAATAGATAAAAATACGGTTCCGATATCGCGCTTTGCTGATACAAACCGCACTATCCAGTCAGTTGCAGAACACGACACCATCGAACCGCAACTTTATTGACGGAAACGTCGGTCTCGAAATCATTAAAAAGCGTGGTGAAGATAAACCGAAGTTTAAATTGAAAACATCGTGGTTTAAGAAACCGGTACGCTTTGTGGTATTCACAGACCGACGTTTAGGCCGAGTTTACCGTGGTATATAAAACCGTAAAAAAGCGCGGTTTCAGATACCGCGGTTCATTCTCACTAAACTGTATCCCTTTGAAACCGTGGTTTTCATCGGTTTTTAAAACCGCAATTTGGATCGGTTTGTCCTTACCGCGGTGTGACTCACCGCGGTTCATTCGTTTTTTGGAATAACACCGCGGTCTGCTACAAAGAAACCGCGGTGAGACAAAAAAAACCGCGGTTTTGTTCGAAAAAAAATTCCGTGGGTAGTCGACAATAACAACCATACCCGATCAAAATGATATTCTGGCTACACTAGCCAGATGTTAGGAGCCAGGGCAGATAAATATCTCCTGTTAATTGAGAAATCTTATATTTATGAATGTATAGACCTGACATTGGCGTGCATTATTTTGTATTTGGTTTTCCTTCAAATGGCTTGGTCTCTAGATAATTTTATTTTGTTAAACACAGTGTGATTTTGATACTGCTAGGTCGATCAAAACATCGTTTACGGGCAGTAAACGATGGGCAGTAAACAATGAAAAAATGGTATGCTTACGGCCACAAACATTTTAATAGTACATATATATGTACTATTAAATATCACGTGACGATCATTTAGCTTATAGAGAAAAAGGACCAAGTTCTTGAAAAATACTCATATTTTACTAAAGCATAGAGTACAATGGTGGAAAGCGGCTCATCTTTAAAAAAAGATCGGTGTATTTTGCTCATAACTGGTCTACTTTTTATCGTAAAAAAGATCTTTTCCGATAGTTAGATGATTTAAACATTTTTCAACTGATTGATGTGAAATATAACATCTTTTCTGACACTTTCGAACAGATTCTTCTATTCAATATCGTTTTTCCAGTAGTACATTTGAATATTTTTAAAAAGCTTACATATAATCTCATCTTTGCTTTCTTAAAAGAACATGCGGAACCTGGTAAAAAAAACAGTTTTCACTAAAAAAAAGCCCTCCCTAGGTAAGTTCCGCTTTTGTCTTAACGAAAGGTTTTTAAAAAAACTGAGATGGCTATTCGATAGAGCCTAAAAAGTTGTCTGTGTGAATAGATTTCAAGGTTCAAGGTTATTGGTTGTAAGTTCTTCATAAAAAAGAAGTTTTAAACTGAGCGAAAACTAAGTTTTACAATATCAGGATTTTCCGGTTGTTTTTATCGAATATTAAAAAATTCACAATTACCGCAGTAAACAGCAAAACGACTTGAAAACCTTAGAATGTACAGCATTTAAGATATTATATATTCTAATTGTAAGGATCTACAAAATCGAATTAGAGAACTCGTTGGTTCTAGGAAAGGTTTTCTAGAAACTCTCTGGATAAAAATATGGCTTTTCAGTTTTTTCCATCTCTTAATCACAGTTTAGCGGACAACAGTAATTATATTTGAAGTTTTGCATTCGTTCTGATGTTTTCTGAGTGACTTGTGAATTTTTTTTGCTAAAAACAGTCAGAAAATCCTACGTCCTGTCCTTTCGATGAAATATTTGATTTAGAATAACCTGGAAACTACGAAATCTTCTAGAACCCTTTTCTCAAAAACTATCTATCAAGTAAACTTCATTTTAATGTATTTTGCCAATTAAGGCTTGCTCTTCCAGAAAAAATTAATTACTCAATCGGAAGCACAAGATTTCAAGAAGTCTTAACAAAGTCAGATCCGATTTTCTTTTCAAAAAAGTTCGAAGGAAGACCAGCTGGTCTCGTTAATATAACGAGAGTATAATACTACTATAAATAGGTATGCTCAAACACATAGTTCCTATTCTACTCTGTTTTTCAGAGCCAATTCCCTTTTTTCCGCTACTTTGCGTTCCATTGTCATTTAAGTTCAAGTCGTTTAAAAATTAGTTTCTTTTCATATTTGTGAACTCAATAGTCTACACAAAATTCAAAAGAATAAAAAACTTGGACGTAAGCATACGGGGCAATGTGAGCTTGCCATATTTATATCTAATTCGATTGCTAATAGGTCAAGTCATTCATTTCTTCATTTTATCTTGAACAGCTATTATTTAATGCTGGTAATAGAAAGATACATATTTTTTTTTTGTTAACAGCATACATACATACAAGCCAGAAAAATGTGTCTTACAGATAAAAAGTTGTAAAATTACAAAAAAAAAAGAAACGAAACTTGAAAATAAAAACAAATATAAAACTTAACAATACGTAATTAACACTGTAGTAAGCGAGTGCGTATGTACATATAAATAGTACGTTATTCATTATTATTATTTTCCAGCGTACTTACAAGTTGATCAAATTCTTCTACTTTCGATTCAAATACTAATAATTCTTCACTTAATTGATTAATCGTTTCACCGAGTGATGGTTCAATAATAAATGATTCTAACATAGGTGGTTGTTGACAAGAACGTATAAACACTGCTAAATCATCGGTTGAATCACTTTTGCCAAAAAATGGTTTCTGAAATAAACATGCAAAATACAATAAAAATAAGATAAAAATAATTAACTAGAACTTACTACTTCTACTAGGATAAAATCATCCGGTGCTGTTTCATCGTTAGCTCCCGTTATATAAAGATTACTTTGACTACGATTAACTTCTTGTTCCATTTGTTTGTCGTTTTGTTGTCGTTGTTGATCTTGTTGCGACATTAAAAGTTCAGAATCACTGTTATTGTTGCTATTATTATTATTATTTCGAGAAAAAGGTGATAATGGTTCGCTTAATGTGTGAGGTGTACCATTAATTATTGGTCCGAATGCAGTACGAAGTTTACTAAAATACACTTTATCTGGTGTACTAAAAGCAAAACAAAATAACGATTTTTTAATGAATTTAGCTGGAAAAAATATATCAATTTACCCATGACTAGACGATACTTCTGAATCATAACTTGTATGCCTTCTTTTCATCATTTCAATTGGTGAACTTTTTGGTACACTTCCGTTTTGTTCTGATGGTAATTGTGCATCGTTGTATCCACCGGTACTACCATCACTACAACAAAAATATAAAAAAATGATGACTTTTTATCATAAGATGACTTTTTATTATACTCGTCTATTGTTGGAAAATTTGTTTGTCGATGCCCGGATGTAAAATGATTGTCCTTGATATCTAATCCCAGATTATAACTTTGTTGTTCATGTTGTGGTGAGATCGTTAAACGTGTTCGATAAGCAACATTTATAACAAAACGTCCAATAGGCGTTAAAATAGAACCAATTGTTTTTTTTAAATAATGTTCACCTAAATGATTGACTAACGGTTCACCGCTATACATACGATAACAAATAATATATTTATCTGGACTTTGTTTTCTAGATAATTGATATGTCGGTGTTGAACGTGTGCAACATAACAATGAACGTAAAACCGTACTCATACGATTATAAATATTAAAACGAACACGTTGTGTTTGATCTGTTACAGCATCGTCAAATGATATACACCATGTTTCCAACGTCATGGTATCACGTTCGGGTGTTCTTAAAGATATTTCAACACAAAATGGAACATAGGGACTATCGATTAATAACTTGTTATCACTAATACATTTTTTAGCATTCACTGTTACTTCTGGAATGTCTTTTATGGATAAATGAAACTAAAAATATTAATAAAAAAAAATGTCAATCTAACGATCTTTACTCTGTCATATATTTTGGAACTAAGCTATTGAATACAGAAGAGAGATGTAACAAAATATAAACATTACCCATTCAGTTCCAGAGCAAATGGGTTTCGATTTGGTGGTCTTTCTTTCTCCTAAACGTGATTGAATAATAATCTGGGCTGATTTGACCAAGAAAAATTTTGTAAATTTTTCCAAAGCTTCATGATCTTCATTATTCAAATGATATTCACTCATAAAAATATCTATTAAACAATCTAAAATGACAAACAACAAATTAAACAGAAATCTAAACTTATTGCAATGAGAAATGAAATTTAACTAATCATAGTTACAAAAAACCAAATTGTATCATTTCTATTTTAAGTTGCTTCTCTCTTTCGTAAGTGTTAGACTGCAGACATCTCATTGTATCAAAATCTCATAAATCAAACTTCTTAACCTGTAACTCTAACTTGACCTGTATTATTTTTAGGAAAACAAAACAAGTCAAATAATAGCGAAAGAGACAAATAAGAGAATTGTTTGAATGATGATCTATATCCATTTTTGTTGTTTATGTATACAAGTAGATGCAATTTGTTCCGGATAAAAAATGAAATATAATTAATTTTGTATTTCGAAATTACTCTGTCCAATATAGATATTTAGTTAACTATAATTAATATATTCCATTGGGACATCGTTGTAGGTACGCCATTCAAAGTTAAGTTTTAAGAGCTTGCTGACGTTAAGTTTGACATTTTAACATGAAAACATTATTTGTAGCTAGCACTACAACTTCATGCGTTTCATCGAGGAGAATTCTATTGAAGATATACCATAGTTCACGAGGGTATCGTGTCACCTAGATAAGGATTTTTTTCCCAGATAAGGAAAGATTTTGCAGCAAAATGTATTTCTCTGAAAAAAATTCTATAGCTTCTCAATAATCAATTGTCTAAACTTTCAGGATATATTAGAAAATATTTCCTACTGAATAAAAGATTCCAGACCATAAAGAGTCTGTGGATATGTTTAAAAAGTGAGAAGTTATCTTTTCTTTTTGTAAAATTTTCGGATATCCGCGTGACTTCAGTAAAAACTGAAGACCAATAGGCAAATTACAATTGCCTTTTCAAGCGCTGTCAAAGGAGGTCAAATTTACTAGTATTCAATGAGAAAGAGTTGATGAAAAAGCACGATCGTTGAAGATTGTCTTAGCTATTTCGTTTGCTAGCCACTACGCAACTACCAGGGATTCCAGAAGCTGGCACATCAACTTGATCCAGGCTATGAGAGAAATAGTTTCACGAGCTTGATCAATTAGTTGAATGTTTATTTTACTTTTTCTGACCAAATATAAATCTTTCATTTTGTAACTGTCTTGGAACTGCTAACTTTAGTTTTCTTATCACAAATTATGGGCACAGACGAGAAATCTAACAACTTTCTATTCAATTTGTATATATACCAGATTCTTATAAATGACATTGTGAGATCAATGAAAATCCAATCTTTTCACAGATTCATATCCTGTCTAAGGAATGAGAATATTTAAGAAATTTAGTTTGATAGTTTGTAGGTGACTATTTAAACTTGCATATTTTTTCTGAGTTTTTGAGATATATGCTAGAAGGTATCTAATCGACTATCTAGTTTGAGAAGTTTTGATTTCTGAGATCGCACACTCACAGGGCTTTTAAATAAATATTTGATTGATTTGTATTTTGGTTACAGGGAAGTAATTATTGGAAATTTTAGCTATTTCAAACCACCAACTACCATCTACTCTGTATAACATATAGTGTATAGTTTAAAGAGTAAGGAATGAGTTTAGTTAATTGATGGTTATGACATGATCACAGTCGCTTTCTGTATTCTGTATAAAATGTAAATAGTATCTAAATATATTCTCAAAGTTTTACAACTGTTCTAACTATCTCTAATTTCTGTTTCACTCAGTTGACTTCTCAGCAGATGTGTTAGCGTAGCTGTATTGTATTTAGAATATTTTTTTCTTTTGTGGCAGACACACCGATGTATCAGATAAACTGTTTGATTGTTTCATTTTCTCATTCATTTTTATTACGACTAGTTGGAAGATATGTTAATAATACAAATAGGAAAGAAGCAAAATTCTTTTTAAGAAAATTATACGTACATAAATATCAAAAGCTATGAAACTGTTTATTTCAGAGAAAATCATTGATCCACTTAGAAGGGAAAGGGAAAATATGAGGATAGGGAGAAAAATCCAAAAGTGCAGAAAAAAAAGCAAAGTATTTTTAGGACAGTATCATGCAAAAACTCGGGATTCTCACCGTACAAAATACTGATATGAAACGATGAGTATGCTATATTTGGTCAAAAAGTAGACTGAAAGAAATCAACAATAAATAAAACTACTTCTAAATGTGGGGTACTTATCTAGGCTTTTATGTTTCTCTTTATGTTTCAAAATAACAATACTTCATTTTAACGCGAGTGAGAGAAAATGCTCTGTCATAATGACAAAGTACTAAGAGAGAAATCTCAATAGCCGGATAAAACTTTCTTGTCCTCTTATAACAGAATGTCTAATTTATTTCTGAAAGTGATTGTTTACTAACACATATTTAACTCAGCCTAATGTGTATATTCTTAAAAAAAATGTCTCAATCGATAATTAGACAAGCATATCGAAAACTTTTGAACATGAGTCAGAAGTAAACAAAAAGCTGCAAAAAATACAAGATTAGCGATTGTTTATTTATTAAACTAAAAAAACGACAAGAAAGTGGGCGTATGTGTTTCATATAACCTATATATCTAGTACGATGATAATGTCTTATGTATGAAAAATGGATACTGACTACTAAGAAAAAAAGACATCTGAATACGAATCTATTTTTAATGATGTTGTGGTTGTAACATTTCTGGTGTAATACCAAAATCGGTCAAATCTGGCCATGTTCTTTCTACAACTTTGAACCAATGTCCTAAAGAACGAACAGTATGGATAAACTTGTAAACTCCAACACAATGTGAGATAACACTTACCGCAATAGCATCGTTTTGGTTCTCCTTTGTGAACATACATCCATTTAATATGATATACATCTTCGTTACCTGACAAGAAAAGATATGTGATATTTTGAATAAAGAAGTGAGTAAAATTGTTCCATTTTTACTTACATACACAACCGATAAGACGTTTGTCAAATGCACTTGGAACCAAATTTGCATTTTCTGGTGAACTATTTGCTAGACGTTTGACAGGCATCATACCCCATGGATCATCATAACCTTTGAATTTCTAAAACAGGATATATCCGATAAATAAAAGGCAATGTTTTAATCCTACTGGCTAACCATAGCGTATTCAAAACGACGTTTGTTAAGTGCCAAATCCCATACATTTGGAAATCCTGAAAATATGAAAGACCTTTTGTAGTGAACATTTATATTTTTGAGAAGAACTTACGAACTTTTCCATCATCGGCTGGTAAGACTCGATTTTTTGTTGATGGATACGATACCGCTCCTCCTTCATGTTTAGCTGAAGTGGGTGGTGAATGAGATGATGACGACGAATGAGAGGAATCTTTTGAGCTTGATCCTGCCGATCGAGTGCAACAAATAGATAGCACTCGTGGTGCTGCGATTTTATTTGCTGCTAATTGAGCAAGCATTAGTACAAAACTTTATAGCTAAAAAGTGGATAAAGTGAAACGATCACCTACCACACATAATAGCAACATTCCACTATTGATGTATAAATCTCAAGAAGATTTAGTGTCAAATGAGTCACATGTATACCAAATTTGGCTTTATCCACTATTAACTTAGTTTCTCTTCGCTCATACCACTATACTTCTAGCTTTCATGTCTAACACGTTATCACATTATGATAAGGTACGAAGACTGAGCTATTCACTATTGAGTGGATTCCTATAATATCGAATAGTGATTATCGCAATAATTGCAGCTTAAAACCGCAAAACATGATAACAAAAAATAAAAGCATATTTTATGTTTGTTTAAACTGTAAACTATCATGCAATAAACTTGTTAAGAACGAAAATGTGCTTGAAATGACCGCATCTCAACTGATGATATATACCTGCACTTACCAGTGAATGAATAGTATAGTATATACAAGCGTAGAGATATTTCCACTGTTTGATTGGATTAAAACACATGAAGCTAAAGCCAATGAAAGAAATCTTTAATACTTAGACGTAGATGCAATAGAAAAACATTTATTTTTTGCCAGAGATATCATAGGAAAAGATATGAAAATAGATTAGAATCTTATTCCGCTAAGGTATATATTATATTAGCTTCCTTTCAAAAATCGTTGCTAAGCTACTTCTTCTACAGGAAATGGACGCGAAGCTGTAAAACTATTCTATGCAATGTGATGATTTTCACTAGTTTCTCTTACCGAGTTACCTAAATAAGAGCATTTGTTTTTCTTTATTGACATCATCTTGGGTTCTCATTGTAGATTAGAGTGAAATTAGGTTACTCTATTCTCTTGTCCTTTGGTTGTTCTTGTTGTTTGCGATCATGATTAAAATATTTTCTATTTTTTTCCCATATAAAAATTAAGTCTTATTAAATATACATACAATGAGTGAGGTGCAGTTGTCTTCAAGAGCAACTGTTTTTTTTTTGATTGACAAATGAGTGACACTCCCGAGAGTCGGCGATATGCGTGCTCTTCATTTCTAAACAGTTTAACAAGTGTCTATAATTTTAATATGTTTAACTATTTTAGATGGACGATTTTGTTTGTATATTTATTTGTTTAAGTTTTCTCAATCCATATTACAGTAGGTTTGTATATATTTTTTTGTAATTGTTTAGCTAAATTTTTTTCTACACTCACAGATACAATTTATGGACAACGAAATTTTTCAAATCCAGCTCTAATCAACATTGCTCCATGCTCGTGTGATTTGACAACGAACAAATGTGATGTTACTTGTTGTTGTGATGTGGTAAATACTTACAAAACAACGTTCACTTTTTGAAGAATTGACATGATAATTTTTTTGTATTAAGGATTGTTTACCGTCCGATCTAGCATTAATGCCATCATGCGCAGCTAATACATCACAGGTGATATCAAAATGGGATTGTAAAAATGAAAATTCATCAAAGACCTATGATTATTTTCCATTTGTGTGCTACGAGGTAAAACGAATCATTAAAATCTGGAAGAAACAAACCGATTTTTCTTTGATATAGTTTTCAAATAACGAACTAGTAGGAAATTATTATTTGACTACGAATTTGACATTCGCAACAGTTACATCTGATTTAAATGGTTTACAAGACACATTCAAAAATTATTATCCAGAATTATTTGAAGGTATATTTTACTATGAAAAAAGATATTGGTATGAAATGGCTGCTTGTAATTGTTCTAGTTGTTCAATCGGCGCCCACAGCAGACCAAACAGTTTTCTGTAATTCATCACAAACATTCGTTTTACCAGGCTTACTGGCTGGTTTTCAGTGCATCGATAGTTTACCAGTAAAATTTCTAGAAAATAGAGATGTGCAATGTTTAAGAAATGTTTTAACCGTAAGTGTTATAATATAGTTTATCTGAATAAGTCAGTCGTTACTCTTTTTCTTTAGAGCTCATGTAATACAACGTTGGATCCTGTAAATTTATGTGATACTTTATATTCTGATGGTAATTTCACCAATATTTCATTTTATGTTCGCGCCAATATTTCATCAGTTTCTACGTCTCGATCTGATACAGAAGAATATTGTTTTTATCCACCTTTGAACTTGACGCCACCTACCTATATGACTATATTAGATTATTGTGATGGACGATATCCATTAAATCGAACACAACGTTATTATTATTTTTGTAACGCAACAACATCTTGCATTAATTCTGTACGAAATTTTTCTTGTCCTATACGTACAGACTATGCATATTCCGTTTTGAGCCCGGATCAATTCAATGCAATACCGTTAACAACTGATGATGTTACTAAGATGGGTTTTTCTAGCGAATCGCTAGCAACAATTAGTAAGTTGAATATAAAGAATTTGGAATTTTAATTCTACATTTAACATTGTTCTTTCAAGGTGCAAATTATATTTGTTCAACTTATTCTATTACGGAAATATTTTACAAATTAAATTTTGATGGAAATAAAATAGAAAATGCTAGTGCATATCTGACAGTAAATCCTGTTACTACTATTGGCACTCAACGAGTTTCGGTCGAATGGATTGATACATCATCCACATCAGGATCCTCTTCCGGTATGTTTTCTACAGGAATTCACTACTTTTTTTGTTAAGAAGGCCATTCTTTGATTTTTACGTAGGCTATAGTCAGGGACAAGATCTTCTGTTTTATCGTAATGCTTCTTCAACAAATTCAACATTTATCGTCTCGGAGATGGCAAATTTGGTACCAGGTAACTTTCTAAAATGAAATATCTGTTTGAAACTAAATAAATCTGTATGTTTTTCTTTATTAGGCTCAAATGGTCTATGTATTGATGCTTCTCGTCATAGTATTCGGTTTAAAGAAAGTGTTTCATCTTATTGTGCTGTTCAACTCTATCGGAAAACGATAGTAGAGAATTGTCATAATTTAAAGTATATCAAAAATTTTCTTTCCATAATCAATGAACAACATTAAACATTATCAAATTTTTAGATTAAATATGTATTCTTATTTGAATATTCAATATGCTCCAGCTTCATACGTGGTTGGATCACCATCAAATACATCATTTATAAAAATACGGTATGGATTCTTTTTATCTATCTTAGTGTTTTTCGAGAACCTATATTACTAATATTCTTGCAGTGATGATGCAACAGAAGAAGCTGAATTGAACCGAATCGATGATGCTAGACAATCAAATCAATTAAACCAATCTTACATAATCCAAACGTCACTAACTTACAACCACTCTACAATTTATGATAGAATGCAAGAAATATCCGTCTGTTTGGGAGTACCGTCTGGACTTTATGTACAATTCAATTACATTAAAAAGTTTAGTTCTAATAGTGAAATAAATGAGGAAATTGTGTCTGTTCAATATAAGTAAGAATCAATTGTTCTCCATGTTTTGTTTCGACAAGTGATTTTTTTATTCTAGTTATACCAATTCGGACTGGCAATTTCAATGCGGAACTTGTAGTAATACTACAACACAACGATTTTTAGTTACTTTTCAAGTGGATTTTGTTGATGTTACTAGGTAAGTAACGAGTATTTTGATTTACAACAATTAATTTTTTTTTCTTTTTCCTGAAGACAATATTTTGGTATAAATACTGTCAGTCCATCTGATTTAACGGCCAACGATGATTACATTCAACATTTACTATGGTTAGTGACACCGGAATATACAGGTGAAGAAGGCTCTAGGAAATATACCATCACGTTGATATTAATCTATATTGCAATCACAATTGCTGTTATACATATCGTCATTTTTGGATGCGTATGTCCGTGTTGATAGATACATGAGAAATATCAGACAGATTAATATCGTAGAGCTGTTCTGTCGAATTACCGAAAGAAAGATAACCGGTTAATGATATAAATTGCTTTTTAAATGGCGAAATAGTTGTTCTCGTTTTTCTTTTGTACGTTTTTAATTTTGTATGTTAGTTGTTATTTTTTCTGTTATAAGCTAGCTGGTCTAGTAATCAGTGAACTTTTGAAATGACAAACTCATTTTAATGAAGTGATAGTATATCGCCTCAATTTAAAGTGAATTTATGTAGTGAAAATAGCCTGTCAAAAGATCGTGTAAATTAATTTGAGTGTTTCGACTTTTTTAGCTGTTTAACTCTTGACATATTTTATTATGTAACAAAAAAAACAAACAAAAAATAATGATCGCAAATGTCAAATAATCTTTTTAGCACCTGGAAAAAAACAAATTTCAACTGCATAGATCACGAATTCACGTTGCTTGATGCTGAGATTAATCACAGATGTTGTTTATTGATTTTATCTGTCAGCTAAAATAAATTGTCAGTTAATAAACTTACTGTAGTCGAGATAATACGGATAATAATATGGTAATTTTATGGTTTTATTTATACAATTGATCTTGGAAAATGATAATTTGTTTTCTCGTATATACAGCTGACCTACCGGGTGCCACAGAAGTTTTACAACATCTAATGTTTTTCGAATATTTTAGCCTAGATACAACATATATTATTCAATCTGTTTTCAAAAGATGCGAAATTTAATTCTCTACAAAATTGATGTTGACCCTATTTTACAATAATGAAATTCTAAATTTTTACAGGTCAAACACTTCGATGGAATCAAGTTCAACCATTTCTCACTGAATTTTGGAATTGTTCGTATGTAGAATCCCAACAAATATCGGGCTCATAAAATACGACTCACCAATAGATAATCCTTAAAAATGTCTACTGATTGCATATACTTAGATATTTTAATTGCTACTTTCTACTCGTTGAATGACATTTTTTCGTTGAAAGTCATATTTCGAAAAATAGCGCGATTTTCCCTTCCAGCTGCTGTCTTCAGAAAAAAACATTATGAGAAAGTCATTTATAGCTCAGGAAAGATCATTAATATAAAGTTTTATACGAAAAACAGTGAACAAACATTTTTATAGGGTTAGGAAATAGTTAATTGCTGCAAAGGAGTGATTTTCATGATCAAAATTAAATAAAAGAATTTTTGCTACAGCAACAGATACCGAGTCGAGAAGATATTATATATCTTTGAAAGGGCTGTTGATGCACTATCAAAAAATGAATACCTGATCTTCTCAGTATTTGTTGTTAGCACAGAAAAAAATTCGCGAAACATTCTGAGAATCAATGGCAAGTGGTGGTGTGTGAACTCAAAGTGTTTGACCTCTAAAAATTTAGAATTTCATTATTGCAAAATAGAGTCAACATCAATTTTGTAGAGAATTAAATTTCGCATCTTTTGAAAACAGATTGAATAATCTATGCTGTATCTAGGCTGAAATATTCGAAAAACATAAGATGTTGCAAAACTTCTGTGACACCCGGTAAGACGAGAGTGTTACATGAATAGGTCTGATCTCTGCTTTGATCGGTGATTGCGAACGAATGTACTTCTTTTTATCGTAATGGACAAATATTGTCACCATCTTCTTTCAGTTCTGTGAAGGTTAACGTCAATCTCTTTCTTGAGCTCCTAGTTTTAAGAGCCCCTCTTTTAAAAGTCATCAATGTATCATAAACTGTTTATTTCTGGTATCTGGATCTCCTTCTATGTAACAAGTGCTTTTTGATGCTTTTTAAAAGAGTTTTCCCGAAAAATTATAGAACGCATCGTTTCCAAGAAAAAAGACACTTATAACCTACTTTGTAACTGGTTATATTATCAGCTTGTCACAACAACAGCTCGTCTAGTGTTCTTCAGTTTTGCAAAGCAGCTTCGGTGAGTATCACAATAGGACAAAAGCTTAAAGGCTACAAACTGTAGAACGTACTACTTAGCTGTCGTAGTAGATACGTTTGTACTTGGTAAACGAGAGTATAAGAACGATAACTACCCGATTAAACATAAAATAGAGATTTAAGGATATTGATTATACTACTGAGCACAATAAAAAGGTCTATCGACACATTGTTTTTGACTTTGTGACAAACAATCCCATCTTCTCCTTCCTGATCCCTATCACGCGTGAATAAGTCAATATATCGAACTTAAATTTATAACATAGTCTGTTTACGTGAAAAGTTACAACTGCTAAAATTTCGATACAAATTAATCCTTTTTTTGCCTTTGGCTAAATCTGACGGCTCTGAAGGACAATAGAGATGTGCAGGATGACCCTACCCTACCCTGTTCTATTATGGTAGCGTAGGGAGAAAACTTTATAGGGTAGAGTAGGTTAAGAGTACGAAACATTTTTATAGGGTAGGGTAGGGCACAGGTTGAGATGCTTGTCATAGACTGTACACTATGAGATAAAGAACGCTTAGTATTGCTAGACATTCGCTAGTTCAAGTGAACTAAATTTTTATAAAATGGTCCCTATAGGGGTCAAAGGGCAAGGAAGGATTAATTGTAATCTGTAGAAGGTTTTTTGTTAGATTTTTCAAATCATCATCTACAACATGATGGAAAAAACGTAGATTTCTATATTTTCTTTGTAAAATCTTATTAAAAAAAAAACAATACTCTATCCTATCTTCAAACAGGTGTCAGTAGTGGCATTAAGTACAAATGTGTATAACAATCTCTTTAAAAAAACGGAGAATAGGTATTATTGTGGATGATAAAAGTCTTTTTTTTAAAAAATATATGATAAACGTTCAATAAATATAATAAATTGAAGACATTGTTTTAAGTATAAACACATTAATATTCTTGATACAAATAATTCGTACAAATTACAAGATAGGAAAATAATACTTAGTATATGATACGTTGAAGACTGCAAAGAGAATAGAAAAAAGTTATCAAAACAAAATCTGATGTAAAAAATAGATAAGAAATTGTTACTCTATCAATAAAAACAAAACAAAAAATAACAATAGCTATTTTAACATATTTTGGTTTAACAATATATTACTCGGTCTGAGTTTGAATGGATTCTCGTTGAACACTATTATTTAAACATGGTTGTAATTCAGATAAAACAGTTGATCGATGTCTTGTCGCTTTTCTTAATGTTGGTGATGAGAGTAATTCATTCGTTGAATCATTGCTCGAGGACATAGACATTTTTTTATTTTTTTCATCAATACAAAAGTGCACAAAACACGATATCGGAACCCATAAACAGAGAGAAAAACCCACAATAAGTCCAACAAGATTTTGTTCGAAAAACGATGCACGATAATCATTATTTAAAGCATTTTCAATATACGGTTTTTTTCGATTTGTGTTTTTACTATCTATAACAATTGATTGATCTGTATTTTCTTCACATGTTTGATAATAAACTTGTTTTTTAGATATTATTGTTGAAAAATTATCTTCAATTTGATTAAAACATAAATGAGAGCGACGTTTTAACGACTGTTTTAGAGTTGATGATAATAAATCCAAACATTTTTCAACAATAGGTGCTACATCGTCATTAGCAAAAAATCGACGTTTTGTTTCATTGACACTACACAATGTTAAATTTAATCCCATTTGTCTTAAATACAAGTAACTTGTTTTCATAATCAAATCAAATAGAATCGATGAATTTTTACTGTTTAATAAATATTTACTAACAAATGTAATACCCGTATTTAAATTTAATTCTTTAGTAACATTATTTTTTGTCGTTTCAAATGGAATTGAACACATTCCACCTACATCATAGGTACGTATTGATGCTGGATAACCAATAATTGTCGACATTGTTTGATTAGGATTCGATATCATGAGATTAACAAGACAATATTTTTTCCAGTCATTTTCCGATAATGTATGTAACATATTGAAATCAGTTATCGTTGAATTATTATTATTTGATGGCTAAATGAGAAGGAAAAAAAATGTGAATGATAACTTTGATTATCTAAATTTATACGGCATAATTTTCCCACTCTCGGTCGATTTTCTTTTAAGTTTAGCTTTGATTCTTCTACTTTTACATATATCTATGTCGATTCCGACTGACCAGGATTAAGTATGCACGAGTTGCAGTTAAAAAGTAAAGTTTACTGAACCATAGAACTGTAAACTAGTACAATTAAAACTGATACATTTGATAATCGAAATTGATCATAACTTGTATAAGACCGCAACAAAATACATATTAAGAATTTTAACTAAATTCAATAATTTTATTTGTCGATTTCGAGCTTTCGGTACTGACTCGTGCCATTGTCAAGAAACAAATGACAACAAAACAATTTACATTCTCTGTATATCCCAAAATGTGACTCTTTTGCTATTTGACATATCGGAAGAACAGAAAAAAGATAGAAATTAGCCTGTTATTCGAATA